CAGATAGGCATGACAGAAAATATCAGACATTTACCTGAGAAACCAGATATGATGGTACACCTATAACCCCAGAACCCTGGGAAGTTGAGATAGGAGGATTGCAAGTTTGAGCTCAGTCTGGGCAACTTAGTGAGTCTTTGTCTCAAAAGCAAAAAAGGGGTGGCGATGTAGCTCAGTGCAGAGGTCCTGACTTCAATCCTCAGAGAGAGAGAGAGAGAGAGAAGAAAGAGAATGGGAGAAAGGAGAGGAAAGAAGGGAGGGGCGAGGGAAGATTCTGCCTCCACTTAGGACACGATGGAGTCAGTAAAATGCAAGACAAGACTAACCATGGAAAACAGTTCAACCAAGCAAGTAGCCAGTTAGTAACATTCCTTCAGGGTCAGTTAAAAAAATAGACTCCAAGAAGGGAACGTGTTATCTTAACTATAAACAGACTTAACAGAGGCCCCAAACACATTTTCTGGGAAAGCTGCTTAGTTTTTAAAAGCCTTGCTATGAGCAGATAGGCTGCGAGATGGGGAGGACTCAGGGGTGTGGGGCGGAAGCCTCAGACCATGCTTTGCTATCCCACGAAGCTACCAAAAACAAAAGCCACGGAACAGGGAAAACAGCAGCCATAGTTTTTCCCATCAGAAATAATCTCCAGGTGAAACCGTTGGAAAAATTCTTAGAAAATCCCCTATCTGCCCTTTCTGCAGGTTGTACCGGCTCACTTCTCTGAATATGATGATGTCTTTCCTGCTTTTGCAAATGATCATGTTGAAACAATTGGAACTGTACACACTTTCCTGATGGATCTCCCTGAAAAGTACTGCTGCTTGTGGTTCATTCTCTGGATGGGTACTGACTGAGCCTCTGCTATGGGCCAAGTGTCAGGGACAAGGAAGCAAGCAAAACACGTCAAGTGCCTGCCCTAAGGAGCGAGCATCCTGGTGAAGAATAAGGTCCTCATCCCTGTGGTAGATGGGATCCCAGGAGTTCCTCTCCCTGTTAGTGTCCTAGGTTGCCTTGTTCATGGAAACTCCTAAATACAAAGATGGAAGAAAGTCAAGTTACATAGGGAGCTAGGGTCTAACTCCAAGTGTCAAGCCATACATGATGGGGAACCAAGGTATGACCACAAAAAGGAATGTAAGACTTGTTTTCAAAAAGATATCAACATTCACAGTCCTATAGGTCACCACTCCTTACCCATAAGAGTCACCAATGCAAGTGAAAACACACATTCCAAGATATTATCTGATATCACTGTGATGCCCAGGACAGCCAGGCCCTGGTTGCTGTCCCATGGTTTCTATAAGGTTCTGAAGATTAAACAGTTGGTAGCCAACTTTGTATACAGGTCTGTAAACAAGAGGGCTCAGCTTTAAATAATTATGTCAAAGAAATGACAACTATGCTTTTTGCCAGAATGGGGATGAATAATTACAAAGGCAGGACATAATTAAGCAATTCGGACGTTGGATTTTGGAGCTGTGTCTCTGATGTGCAGGGCCAGTGTGCCTGCCACACCCACCCACCTGGATGACCTCTACACTCCTTTGATCTGAATTTCTCAGTGTGGCTGGGTGGGGAGGCTCAAGGTCTGGTCATTAGAGACACCTTTCCTTGGGGACCTCAGCCTTCTCTGTACTCAGCTTGATTCTCTGTTTTGACAATGCTATGATTCAATAGCTGATATATGACAGAGATATATATTTTCTTTAAAATTCTGGGAAATGAGCAAATCCTCGATGTTGCAGGTCCATTAACTAAAACACATAGTTGCAGAGTCTGGAGGAGCCTGCTGTCACATGAGCTATCGCTTCCTAACGAATGACAGCGTTTTTTCTCTAGAACAATCAGAGCTCAGATGGAAGGCAGTTTTTAAACAACAAAAGCCAAAAAGCAGCAAGAGAGGAAAGAAAGCATATCATCAGAAGAGAGCATGAGAGAGAACTCCCTTTGGACACCGGGGCCTGCCAGGTCCCAAATCAAACCCTTGGTGACACGGAGGGGAGAGAGGGGTGGTCTTAGTTCCCGGCTGATTTTGCATTTGCATCAGCAGAGAACACGCAGACTGTCTGTTCCCTACCTCCAAGGCAAAGGCTGCAAATGGAAAGGTATTTTCCATTCTCCCAAATACTTTATGTCAGGAATAAAATGAAAACAGCTCCCCAAATCATACCCCCGATCATCCATCAGCTCATTCTGCTGCATAAGCACAACAGGCCGCTACCACCTTGGAGGGGACAGAAGCCAACCTGAGACTCCGACTCTTTATGAAAAAGAGGTCTGCGCCACGTGGACTCAGCATAGAGTCGGCAATTCACGGAAAGAAAATTGCTCTCCACTTAGAGGCCGTCTCCGGGTATACACATACCTCCCACTGCATACATATGTATATATACACAGACGGGGGAATATACACACCTGCATAGGAACAAACAGTCATCTGTACACACTGTGAATGGGCAAAAAGCAGCCTTTTGAATACAAGTTTATTAATTCAGCAAGGAGCTCATTTGGCCTTCTTCTATTTACAAGAAAAGTACCAAAGCATATCTCCAAAAATAACCAACAAAAGGGTATTGCTTCTCATTCAAGAAAGGCATTGAGTTTGACAACAAACCAATAACACACTGAGTTCCTCTTATGCACTCAAAGGATCATGGCATAAATAGGATACCAAACCAGAAGCCCAAGACCCCTGGTTCTGGCCCCTGCTGTACTTCATCAGGAATGGGGGGCCCACAGTATTGTACCCTCATCCACAAAACCAGAGAGCAAGTGACCTCTAAAGTCCCATCTAGTTTGGAAGTCATGTGGCTCTACAAAAGATGACCTAAGGTCCCTAGGCTTGGCGTGAGTCTGTTTGCCTCTCTCTTCTAATTAATGGGCATTTTGAAGCTTAATACAGTTAGAAAGGATGTTAGAGTCAATCACGCAAACATGAGCTAATTCTATAATTGATTGGGAGCTAATTGGGAAGTCTGAAGAACATTTCTGCTGACGTTGCTAATGACTCATGGTGGATTTTAAGGAGCCATTTCCAGTCACTTTCAAAGCCAAAGGAGGAGTCCAGCTCCCTCCATCTCTGTTTGACAGAGTCTTACTTTACTTGCATTTGGTCTTTACCTTCATTTCTGTCTTCCTGTGAGGTTCAATTTGAACAAAAAGACCCAAAGAGCTAAGTAGAGCCAGAGCTCCACAGCCAGACACATAGATAAAACCTCATCTCTGGTAGGTCCTCATCAGGTGACGGGGGCCCAGGAAACTTCTTCAGGCTTGAGTTTCCTCTACTGCAAAGGGAACCAATGATCCTTCCCTCCTACCTCACAAGGCTATGTGAGGATTCACAAATCTGTAGATAACGAATCTTGGGACAGTACAGTGGTAGGCACATACATACGGAGTACTCTGTTCAACTACAAAGGGCATTGTTTATTCCAACGATAATGTAGCCTTTCTCATGCCGAAGGCAAAGGAAGGCAGGAGGAATAGTGACCTACTCTGGACGGTGTCCACGTGAAGGTTGGACGTGTAGGAGGGGTAGACTGTAGCCCAGGATATTACAGAGTTCATTTGTTGTGCTTTGCTGGGTTTGGTGGCATCGGCTGTCTCTGCAATATTTTCCCCAAAAATGAAATAAAGGAAGGAAGGAGGCAAGGAAAGAAAAAAGGCTGAGAAATAAATTCTTTCATTTGGACAAAATTACAAAAGCTAGACTAACGAAAGGCAGTCATGTGCAATATGTCAAACCTGGGCTTCAATGAGGAGCACTGTTAACACTTTAATAGCTACAAAATGAATCACTCAATTAATTTCCCACATGCTGAAACAGGTAACAATACATTTATCTGCCAGTATTATACCCTCCATATCATATATTTCTACAACTGTTAGCAATTTTATTCAGCATAACGGGAAATCAGTTGCACCTCATGGATTCAGGGGAAAAAGTAAAAAGAGGCCTGAGGTCTGCTGCCAGCTGAGCGACTTGATGGAGGAGGTTTCATTGTTCTGCTCTGCTTTGCTTTTGTTTGTATTTTCTTTTCCTCCCTTAATCACTTGCAATGCATGTACAGAGGGCTATAAGTCACTACGTGAGGACAAACCAGACCTGTAGGATTTCTGTGCCAGCGTTTTCAACACACATGCTACAGTCTCATGGGAGATGACTGCGTAGTTCCACAAGGCCCAGGGCCATGACAGCTCTCCAAGGGGTCAGTGGGGGTCACTGAGTTTATCCCCCAGCCTCTGGCTTCAGTGAAGGACGCCAACTCTTACCAAAGAGATAGTTGCGTATGACCTTAAAAACATCCTTGTGTCTGAATTTAAGACCCCCAGCCAAGCCTCCCCTGCCTCATCAGAGCTGCCATTAGGATGACACCACTTTTGTGCATGGCCCTCTCACAGATGTGGCTGTAAAGCAAAGGTTGTAAACACCATTCCAATGTGCTCTGGAGAGTTATATGTGGGGAGCCCGGGCCAAGCCTGGGACACACTGTCAGGAATCACTGGCGCCTGTGCTAACGTTATCTCAGGGAGCTGTGGAGTCCTCATCTATGACAAAAGAAAATCTCTCTCCCTGGTCCCCCTTTGGTCATAGGAAGGAAAAGCCAGGCCTCAAGGAAGAAGAATGTGACCCACTGCGGAAGCAGGAAAGGCTCAGTGCTTTCTCCTTTCTTAGCTACACACCTCTAGAGGCCCCCACTCTGGGAACATCACTGAGGAAGAGCCCTGGAATTATCCCTCAGAACTTCCCCAGTGACCTTCATTAGGTGGCCACTTTATCACATGAGGCCACCTAATGAAGACTGTCCCCTTAGCCTGGGTTACAGGACGACCCACTTCATACCCAGTCCTATCTCCTGTTAGGCCCACGGTGTATCTGCATGGCTAAACCATGAGATCTCATTTGCATTCTCAACACACAGGAAGATGTTCCCGAGCTCTGAAGAGGAACCAGGGTCCTGAGGTGTCAGTCCCTCATGAATATCGTGGAACAGACAGCTTACCTTGGGCTTCACCACCTTCATGAAGGCCCCTCTGACCAATGCCTCTTCTCGTTCTTGTCTAGTTACTTTCCGGGCATCCAAAAACTTCAACCTAGGCAGTTTATGCAGAACAAAGCATCTGGAAAAGATTCAGAAACAAGGCTGTGATGCCAGTCCAAATACCCAAGCAACGTTTCTTGACCCTTAGGAATCACCAGTACAACTCCTAGATCTTGGTTACGGAGTCACCTGTCTGCTGTTACAAAGAATGAACAATAGGCTGGGCAAGGCGGCGCATGCCTGGAATCCCAGCACTCAGCAGGCTGGGGAGGAGAATCACTGCACATTTGAGGCCAGCCTGGGCTACAAAGTGAGTTCAAAGCCTCATTTAGGGGGAAGCTTGAGTGATTGTATTCACACAGACAATCAGCTGAACTTTAGAAACATACAGTAATGGTTGCTAGACTCAAAGGTACACATCCCACATATACACCAAGATCAGCCAGTAGGACTGTAGCAGAATATTCTCCTTCTACTTTGGGAAATGGGCCTGACTTCTTCCTTACACAGGAAGTTCCCAGAAAATTAACCTATACCTACCTTGATTGTACCATTTATGCCCCCTATTATTCCTTTAGGATGTCTCACTCTCATCTCAATGGACCTCCATTTTGTCAGGACAACAGAAAAACTAGACTGCTGTCACTTGAATGACTTGGAGTACAAGGTAGGAACATGAACGACTGAAAAATGCTTCCTCCTTAAGGACTCAAGTAAAGATCTTGAAGGCCTTTTTGTTATCATTACTGGGGGTATGTCTACTGTGGTCCTAAGAAAATCATCTTCATCAAGGAGAAACAAGGGGAGTTGGTTCCTAGGAGCCATCAATAATTGCTCAACGAACTTCCATTCCTTTTGGGAGATGCTTGGATACTCATTACAGACTCTGGGGATTATCCAGTGTCTATATGAATAAAAAACTATCCTCAAGGTGTGTGTACATAGAATGCCAAGAAGATGCACTTGGCCAGGGTAGAAGTTTATAAATATATAATAAATACAGAAAAGGAACAGGCACCTGTCCATCTCCTCTTTGTTAGTGACAGTCACCAACCCAGATGCTTTCCCTCATGCCCCCATATTGGATCAATCATACAAGTGATTGCCTGGCTCTTATCTTGCTTAGGAAGAAGAAGTGAGTACCTAGTAGTGCCAGCAATGGATTCCCTAAGGGAATCTGTCACTTCCTGCCTGCCTAAGTACATAGCTCCTCAATACACACTCATCTTTCAAGACTTGAGCTCCATGGAAGTGTCTTCTACACCGCTGGCCTTCATTTTGTTAGCACTCCTGAAATACAGGCAGGACCATCTGGTTTCTTTGCTATTCCTGATAACTGCTCAGTTAAGGTGCCTAAACTATAAGCTTCTTGAAGACAGGGAAATTTTTCTTTGTTTACCCTGACCACATCCTAGAAATCTGCCTTAGAAGGACTTAGTAACATACTCGTTCAGTTTAGTTATACAAATACTTCTTGAGCACCACCATGTCATGCAGCGGTGATGATGACACAGTTCCTATCTTTAGAAGCGTTCTTAACACAATTAGAAAACACATTCATAAAGACAAATTAGAAATCAAAATAACTAAGTGCCAGAGTTTATGCCCAGAATAGTTATGGGAGTAGAAAAAAAAGAACCCATATTACTCACTAATAACTAAGAGGAAAGGGAAAACAGGAAATCATAAACAAGCCTCAAAGAAGCAATCCCAAAGCACACTAGAGCCTTGGGTCCCCAGAGCCACCTCCCATGTTCATGGGATGATGATCTTACAACACCAGGTGACTTTCCTCTGCTTGTCCATGTAAAAGGTGAGGCTGATCACCCAAAAGCCAAGCACAACAGTTTAGGGCCTTCTGGTCCAGCCTTTATAGTACTCACTGTAAGGTCAAAATGCTCCAACTCCTTGCAGGTACACTTTTGCTCCCCAGTGCTGTCCACCCCAAAGCCAGGGGTCCTGGAATCAAACTCCGTCTACTTCCTGCTTCCTTCCTGGCTCCCATCTAACACCCTCTTTCCTGTCGCACCCTAGGCTTCTCCCTTACTTCCTCAAATGTGCTCTAATATTACCCCAAATCAGGCAGCTGCCAAAAAGGGCCTAAGCGTCCTTTCTTTCCCCTTATAGAATTCTCACCGGCCTCAAACTGTCAGAGAAAACTTCTGTCTCCTGCTCATAGGCGGCGAAGTCTTGATGACAACAGATTCTTTCAAATAAAGACAAGTACAGACAGAAACAATGTCAGGAGTGACGCTCAAAGGAGTAAAGACACCCACTAAGTGTAGGGTGGGGAAAGATGAATATTCAGGTGAAGACAACATCGGTATTAGAAAATCAGCCAATGTTTAATGACGGAGTGAAAGATGCCTTCACGGGGCTGGCAGGAGCCGTGATGACAACAGACTGTACACTGTCATTTCACCTCACTTTGGATCACAGCCCTAAAATCAAAGGAGAAAGATAGAGAGGTGCTGGCTTTTAAGCTAGTTAAAAATTTGAGATGACAAAGAGCTGCTGTTTCCAAGGCACTCTTCTTATACAATCAAAGAGACAGCCCATGACACAGGCTGCCGGTCGCCTGGGAGACTCGGAATGACCTGACTTCCACCTTGAGTGCCATCCTGGGTTGTGAGGATGTCATTGCTTAGAGAGATTTGAGGGACACTAGAAAGCCCTGCTCCCAAGAGCTCAGTCGTAGCTCGGGGTCCTCAGTGTCTGCTTAGCGACGTCTCCTTTGTGTAGTAATTCATACATGCAACAAATAACTACTGAGCACCTACCACCTGGCAGGAACTGTATGAAGTGCTGAGAATAAAATGACAAACAAAACAGAAGAGCTTGGCTCTCAATGAGCTTCTATTCTAGTGCAGTGTTTCTCACCCTGGAGCAGACAACAGCATTGGGTTTCTCATTCAGGTCTGGAGTGGGGCCTAGAATTTATGTTTCCAATAACTTCCCAGGTGATGCTGATGCTGCTTTCCTGCAGAGAACCAATGTCCTCGTGAAAATAACACCATGAGGAATAATTGTTTTGGAATTATGTGCATTGGGAGGCAGCCAAGAGTCTCCTTGCTGGTTCTGTGAGCAGTATGCCCTGCCCTGAGGTCTGTGGTCCACAGAGCCTAGGCTGTGGCTGTGTCTCTGAGATCTCCTTGCCCTTTGGTGGCTTGAAGCTGGCTGGCTTCCAACATAATTGCCAAGCAGTAAGTCAGTGGGCTTCCTGCCTGCCTGTCCCATCCTGGGCTGGGGATATCTATTTCCCTTTGTTCTAGGTCATGTCAGGATGTCAAAAGCTGCAGCTTCAATTCTGAGCGTAATACAAGTTTGCCATAAAAATACAAGAGAGAATTCCCAAAGCTACAGAATGAAGGCTTTTTACAATATCAATTCAACCCTTGTAAATTTAATCCAGGGTTATTTGTTGCACCAAAATCTCTTTACTGTGATATATTACTTAGTTACTGGGGTTATCACAGCAGTATCCTAAAGTTGCATAGTACATAAAACATTTCAGTTAACAATGCAGGAAGGTTAACTCCCCCAGATAACCTGCAATCACAAGGGCTAGTCCAGATGACATCCCTCTGTCAGCTTCCACGAGCTATTGATGGTTCAATCAGTTTGTTTTGAAGGTAAGGTACAACAAAAGAGCAGTAAACTTATTCAGACTGTTAACAGGGGCTATCGGGAATGGGGCTTACAGGTAAGTAATTCTGGGTGTTTTAAGGCTATTATCAAACAGCAATGGTTGAAGGAAGAGACAGCTACTAATAACACAGAAGGCAGCCATCATAAACCACTTTATGGCAGAAACCTCCATCTATAAATCCTGCGACACCCGGAGACAGCTTCAGATTTATAAAACTGCTTGTTAAGCCAGGGCACTTAATGAAAAGAGATCCGTCTAAATTCTAAGTCTCATGTCCCTAGCTGCAGAGGGCAACTCCAATTTTCCTGACCTTCTCAAGGTGGTAGTGGGGCGTGGGAGAGCCCCCCCCTCCCCGGGGCTGGGGTGGTCAGAGCCACTCCTGGCTATGAAAGGGGATCTGAGGTTATCAAAAGGACAGCAGGGACTCTAGGATCCTGGGCAGGTGTTTACACATCCATTTAGCTCTGTCCTGAAACAGATCTCCCGAAGGGAAGACACCAGCACCCAGAGCTTTCCAGGTTTTCTCTCTTCGACAGAATGCTTCATTTTCTTAAAATACCGCTCTAAGGACATAGCTAAAAAGGAGAGAAGGACAAAAGAAACAACACATAGGCTTTTATTTTCTTAATCATAAAGCTCATTTTTTTTTTTCTTATTAAATCCCAGGAGCCTAGTGTTTCCCATCTAGACCTCAAAGAGAAAGGAGAATGTTGTCACCTCCTGCCCACAGCTGTCATCCCAGGAAGCTGGCTGCCACCCAGTATAATGGGCTACGAGCATGGAAGAGTTAGGCTGGCTCTCTGTGATCTGCTGGTGGGGTTGGCTACCATATTTCTTTCTCTGAGGTTCTGGTCAAGAAATACGAAGCTTCCAGTTCCTAAAGGAGCTGGGCTATGGGACATCAGATTTTATTCTGTTCTTTCTGCTTGTAGCATTCTGTGCTTCTCTGTGTTATTTCTTACTGTCTCTGTGCTCCTATCCATGGAGAGCAGGGAGCACAGTGCAAGTTACTGATGCCCTTCCTGGCATCATCCCAGCAGGCAGCTGTGTGTGGGCCATGAGACATTCATTCCTTCACAAGGCTTAGCAGAACAGAGTGAGCGTGGTAACAAACACCGTGCTTCCTTGCTGTTGACTGGATTATACCCACTCTGTTTGGTAACACAGGCTACCTCATGCTGATCAAAAGCACTGATCAACTGCTAAAGATGTCCAATTAATGAAAGAGAAAATGTTACCATGGTTTACATGCAGATTATTGGAGAAACCAAAGCTTTAAAGTGTGGGGAGATAATTAAAAGGAAGGGAGGTATTCACAGTGAAGGGCTTGTAGAACAAGAGGGCAAAAGAAAAAGCCCAAGCTTTGAGTTCACCTTGCTGAGTGATCTTGGCACAGGCTCAGCTGCCTTTCTCAGCCTCAGTTTCTCCAT